AGACACAGCTGTAGGTGCTGTGGTTTCTTTTCTGGGTTTTTTATTCATTACCTGTAGTCCTGTAACTCTTTGCTTTACTTAATCTATTCAGTAGGGGCCAAGTGTCACTCCTGTTCTTTCAAAAAAAAAACATTGTAAAAGACATGTCCACTTCTGTATAAAAAAAGGCGTGTCCACTTCAATCGTCACGAGTAAGACAACGAGCTGGATGTTCAAATTAGAACAAAATCAATGTTGCAAGTTGCCGACATTTCCACAACGTTTCGCTATCTTTGTCACCTTAATGCACCATTCCATCACGCCTTACCATATAAATTTGGTCTTCTCTCCTTTTTGTTTGTCAACTTTTTTGCTAGCCTTTTCCACTACCATAAAAAACGGGTATTGGATGTCGATAGAAACCTAATAAAAAGGTTCAATAAGTAAGCTAAAACACAAACTCTTGTGTTAATCTGTCCACCGTTAACCCTAACAAAGTGACAAGAACTATCGGAAGTGTGACATAAGTAAAATGTCGGCCAATTCCAACTTTAGTTTTACCACTACAAGGTCCCAAGATCATATAGTTTAGCTTCTCCCTTTGTGGGAGGTCCAGAATGTTGACAAGCGACGTATGCGGGGAGAGTAAGGGCATGTTTATTGGTATGTTTTGCAAGCCTAATTTAGTTTATATATGACAAACAAAAAGCTTGTTGCGAATGTGCTAGCATTTAGCACAAAAGTTAGAGTGGAAGCATTAGATGCTAATGTTTAGTATCTACAACTTAGTTTACTTACATAGTTACATGCATTAATTTACACGTTTTTCTCTTTTGCTCATTTTCTAATACAATAGGTGTATAGATACTTTGTAATCTCTATCTAGTTTTGTTGAACTTATTAATTACCAATCTATATGTTTTTCACAAGTATCCATAGTTTTCCCCTTTTATGGTGTTGGGGTTTTGTAACCGTGGCGAATCGGGTTGTTCGACGTGAATCAATGTGTGTACCTCCGGTGGCATAAGCACTCAAAACACAAATGTTTTATCTTGGTTTCGGGCCCCTAGAATAATTCTCAGTTGAGATGATTTACTAATTTATATAATATTAATAACCTGAAATAATTTTAGGAGCCGTTCCCGAGCAACCGAACGGGCCTAAACCGGATACCATCGGCGTCCAACCAAGAGAATGAGGTTCTTCGTTCCTGTGCAGACGCTCAGACGGCCGGTTGGGCAGTGGCGGCACGGCGGTCCCGCGATCGAGACGGCTAAGCTGGGCTGACAGGGGCCGCTCAATCTTCGCCACGGAGACAAATTGACATTTGCCATACTGCGTCATATGGCCTGCCATCCCCAACTTGAGTGCTCGACCACGGCAGCGTATCTCGCCCCATCCACCACCGTCGACGGCTGCGCTGCCCGCCGCTCGCGCGCTATGGCCAGGCCAGCCAAGCTGGAGTGCTCGACGCGGCTTCCGTATTTTGCCGTGCGCGGAGCCGCGAGCGGGATGGTGGCGCGGCGGCAAGAGAATCCCATGCGTGCATGCTGACTTGCTGAGGGCCCGGGATGAGACGGGCCAACACGCGCCGCCCACATGGGCGTGGTCCGCGTGGGTGCTCCACAGGTCAATGCCCTGTCTGTCAGCAAGAGCAACGACCAAAAAACCAACAACTCTGCTGCTGACAAGTCGGCAGTAAGGTCGTCCACGCCGCTAGAAAGCTTGAACTTGGATGCCGAGCCTATAAATGGCGACCGACCCCAGGCACTTCCACTCACTGCACTCCAGCGTTCAGCATTAGACACGCACAAGGAGGAAACAGTAGCCGGAGAGAGCTCCAATCTAGCCAGTCTAGTTGTCCCGCGAGCTCGTCGAGAGAAACAGAGAGAGTAGACATAGCGCCTGCATTGTCATTCCCGATCATCGACATGGGGCTGCTCGCCGGGAGGAGAGGCCGGCGGCGATGGAGCTGCTGCGCGATGCGTGCGAGAACTGGGGCTTCTTCGAGGTAGACGTTCAGCATGGAAGGAGGAGGACTAATCCAACTCCAGGAACTAGAACAAATAATTAAGCTGCACAAATATATATTTGTCGCTGATGATGTGTTTTAATGCTGTATCCGTTTTGTTTAATTTTGCAATTCCCTCTTGCTGTCCAGATTCTAAACCACGGCATCTCGACGGAGCTGATGGACGAGGTGGAAAAGCTGACCAAGGACCACTAAAAGCGGGTGCGCGAGCAGAGGTTCCTCGACTTCGCCAGCAAGACGCTCAAGGCGACGCGCAGGGCGTCAAGGCGGCGGAGAACCTGGACTGGGAGAGCACCTTCTTCGTCCGCCACCTCCCGGAGTCCAACATCGCCGAGATACCGGACCTCGACGACGAGTACCGGCGCGCGATGAGGCGGTTCGCCGGTGTGCTGGAGGCGCTGGCGGAGCGGCTGCTGGACCTGCTGTGCGAGAACCTGGGCCTGGACAGGGGCTACCTCGCGCGGGCGTTCCGCGGGGCCAGCACGGGCGCCCCTGACATTCGGCACCAAGGTGAGCAGCTACCCGCCGTGCCCGCGCCCGGACCTCGTGAGCGGCCTGCGCGCGCACACCGACGCCGGCGGCATCATCCTGCTGTTCCAGGACGACCGCGTGGGCGGGCTCCAGCTGCTCAAGGACGGCGAGTGGGTGGACGTGCCGCCCCTGCGCCACTCCATCGTCGTCAATCTGGGCGACCAGCTGGAGGTGATCCGTGATCACCAACGGCAGCTACAAGAGCGTGATGCACCGGGTGGTGGCGCAGCCCGACGGCAACAGGATGTCCATCGCGTCCTTCTATAACCCGCGCAGCGACGCGGTCATCTTCCCCGCGCCGGCGCGCTGGTGAAGGCCGAGGACGCGGCCGCGGGGGCGTACCCAGGTTCGTGTTCGAGGACTACATGAAGCTGTACGTGCGGCACAAGTTCGACGCCAAGGAGCCACGGTTTGAGGCCTTCAAGTCCATGGAGACGGACAGCTCCAACCGCATAGCCATCGCGTAAAAGTTGGGCCCTGCGCCTTGCTCTGGTTCGAGATGTATTTGCGGCGTTCTGTTCTGCTGTCCTGTTTATGCCTGTGTCTTTGGTCCCTCTCTGCTCTTCTTCGCTTGCTAGTTAGCCTGCTAGCTAGTTGTATGTGTCGCGTACTCTGTTCTGTAGTATGTTTGCTATTACAAAACTATATTACGAGTGACTAAGTATATATCAATATAGCACTGCATGTGTGTGTTTTTCCTTTAGAAATTATGAACCCATGCCAAATGGGTTCACCAATAAAAAATCAAGATAGATTTAAACTTACACTACTGTGACTGTTTAAGTGAAGTCATGTTATAATGATCTTACTATCATTAATCACAAATTCGCAGAGTCACGTTTCATTACGCATCAAGGGATCAACTATTACGTGCTACTACTAGAGTCTCTACGTTAATATTCTCATGAGACACATTATTATGAAATGGTTCTTAAAGAAAACAAAGCATAACGATTAATCTGGTGAACTCTTTAATCATCAAATTAGGGCATTAGCTCGAGTGTCTGGACGACTGCACGTGCAAAACAATATTTTTTGAAAATGGAAACAATGAACTCCATGCGCGTTTGATTTTGGATTTGGAGGTTAATGTAGTGAGCTCTAATAATCAAAGCTAGTGCATTAGGTCGTGTGTCTGCACGACTGCGCGAGCAAACAATATCTTTAGAATATGCAAATAATAGAACTCCATGGAACGCATATGGTTTTGGATTTAGAGGTGAATAATCTACCGTTGTTATCGTCCTCTGGACAATCCATCGGGTATCACCCCAATTGTCTGATGCACACTCCTTGTGTTTTTAGCATGTTTTAAGTTCGGTCTCGAACAATTCAACTTCTTTCAGATCATTGACTTAAAACCTATCCAACAGGGCCATTTTTGCCTCACTCTTAATGAGAGTAAGCCTCCTGTGCATACCAAATTCTCTCCACTTGAACTCCCTCAAGTGCTCATCAATCACAAAACCCCTCAAAGCTGAATTTTGGGACCTAGATGTGTTCAGTGGTGGCTCACCCATGCTTCTAGTACTCGTTGCAACACATTGGCTAGTCATCACTTCAATCAGCATGATTCACTAGACCGCCAAGCCACCATTGCCACTGTTGTTATCGTCCTCTCCAGGATCAAACAGATCATGTGCATGTGTGTGCTTGTGTTGATACTTTGGACCTGTGCTCACCTCCATAGCTACAGCTACGATCACAATGCGTTGGTCTCAGCGACCTCAACAAAAATAGGGCTTTCATCCACTTGTCAAATTTGTTTTCTTCCACTCTAGTTTTAGAATCCATGTTGCTCACACTACGAGTATTAGATGGATCTTAGGGTATATTATATTGTAGAGATCCAATAGGATCCAGCAATTATATAAGGTAGGACATGATTAGAAGGATTGGTTGATTGTAATCGCTTGTTTCCATCTCTATTTCTTTAGTATCACTTGGGATTGAAACCACCATATACTACATATACCTCTCACGAGGCTCAATACACAAATACTCCAATATTCGGAATGTTCAGCAATACAGTTATACAATCTTTGTTCAAATTTATTCGTCACAAAGAAATTCCTCCAGCTGAACAATCAGGTCCATCTGAATTAGGACGAGCACAGACTGTAGGGACGAGCGCAGGTGAGTACAACACAAGTAGCTTACGATCGAGACATGGTCGCGCGGCCGTCCTGCGCAGTTCAGATGATACACGACCCGTTGGCTCTGCTGTACCAAGACACGGAATGACTCTGGCCGGTCAGGTTTCTTCTCAGATGAACAACGTAGATTCTCCGGGCTCTCAGTGCACGGCATGATGCTCAGCCTGCGCATTCGGCAAACAAGCGCCGCGAGAGAGAAAAGCTTAGCCGGCGTTCGCGTATGCAATCCACAAAGAGGGCCGTGGTGCGTGCGGACACAAACATACCTGGAAGATGTGCGGCACGTGGTCGGCGGCGTGGCCATGGCCGTGGCCGTGGTTATCTTGCAGCCTCACCCCGTTCTTTCTCAGCTGCTCCCTGACGAACTTGTCGTAGATGAAGGACGCGCCCCTGAACTGCGGCAGGACCAGCCACGCCACCAACAACAGTTTCGCCTCGTACCACAGAGGTATCCTGCGAGAAGGAAGGAGAAGAAATGGCCTTCTTTACTCTCTGTCTTTGAATCTTTGATTATGATTATTAGGATGGTGTACATATTGTGGCAATTTGCAGTCTTGATCCAAGAATGTAAGTATATTTATTACAGCGTCGACATGCATTTCAGCCAAAAACTGCATTATGCAGGACATAGAGAAGCGACAATTTATTACCAGTAGAGGACATTCTCGGCCGCCATTTCGAAGAGGGTGATGAAGGAGTAGATTATCCAGTGGCCAGCCACTGCTCGTCGTCCACCTTGGTCGTGCTCTCCATCGCGCAGATTGACGCGTACCTGATCCACGTTACCATCTTGCACACGTTTATTAGTTACGCCATTGGTAAAAAGAATATGATGAACCAGCTAGCACCATTGCTAATCTTTATTTGTTCACTTACAGAGGGTATATCAGAGTGACACTCGGCCTGCACACAAGAGAAAATAGAAGAACATCAGCCCTAGCGAGGCCATTAATCGCGGACTAAAGATGGTTTGCAAATGCGAGCAACGGAACGGAAGGAGAGAGGATCAGCAGCGAGCATTTACCCTGCAAGAGCGTGGAGGTGGGTGATGAGCATCCATATTTTACCCATCCTCCTGTTCCGGTTCCGATTCCGGTCGTACTCACGCTCACGCACCAAATAAACTTGATCAGAACGCGAACGCTAGCTGAGCGCGATTCCTGGAGGAGGAAAGGATCGATAGGCGAGAAGGAGATTCAGTAGGGGGATGGAACGGGGAAGCCTGGTATTTTGGGCTTTATACCTGTGATGATGATCGTGAAACGTGACCGGGAGGCCGGAATTGCACGGGGATGGCACCGCATCGGGTGCCTAGCTTGGACGTGGCGTCCAAGTCAGGCCAGGCTCGAATCGCTTTGCGTGGTGAAACTGAAAATGCCTAGCTGCTCCCCGCCCTCCCGGTCCCCGACCACGGCGCATGTGCTTGCAGCTGGATGCGCGGCGCCTTTCCTCGAGGCCGGGCCTCGTTTCGTTTTCCTTCGTCGGAATCGGAACCCCGGATCAGGGAAAGCCGGCAGCCTATCTCGTCTCTGGAAACAACGAACTTGTAGCGATAATGCATTTGTGAGGGCGTCCGTCCGGGTGTGTCCGTGCCGGACGTGCCGTTCTGGGCTCTTGAGCGATCGGCCCAACATCAACGGGCTCGCGGCCTCTCAAAGCGTCTGGTATCCAACTCGTCTCACTGGCTCACTCCACGCACCCAATCCCTCACCTCCTCCTCCTTCCGCGCTTCGCTGCCCGCTCGCTACCGGCGCGCTCCCCCAACCCTGCGCCGTCCTCCCCACCCCGACGCCCCTTCCCCCACCCCGACGTGCCTCCCAATGGAGGGCTCCAACGCCAGATCCGTGGCTCTCTCCCCACCCAGCGGATTCAAGGAGCACGAGGTGAGATCCATGGAGGTGGCGCGGCGGTGTTGGGTGAGGGAGTGGGCGGCTCTGCCCCACCTCATGGCGCCCTCCCACCCCGGCCGGCCAAAATCGACCGGTCCACTTTTCCCTCTCCTATGTTGTATATGTATGTTTCAAGTGTTTAAGCGCTTTGAATGTATGTTACATTTATTTCATATGGATGTTGCAAAAGTAGATCGGGGATGTTGCACATGTTGCATTTATTTGAGGCATGTTACTGGCAAGCGTATGTTTCGAAAGGTTTTAGATGTTTCATGAGAGGTATGTTTCATCTATCTCATTTACGACGCATGTTGCAAGTGTGTTTATCTGGTTTATGGACGTTGCATATGTTTTACAAATACATTGCATGTGTTTTATTTGGATATTGCGTGTATGGTTGCAATGGTTTTCAAATGTGTTTCGGTGTTTTTTTTCCAAGTGTTTGAAGTATGTGTCAAAGTGTTTAAGCTTTGCCTTTAGACATATGTTGTTAACTTGTATTGGATGTTTTAAAGTAGATCGGTGTTGCATCTCTCCTCCCACCTTGTGTTGCATCGTCTCTCCCGGTTGCCGACAAGCCATCCATACGACCTTGCGACCGGGTCTTTCCGATCGGAGGCATCGCCGCCTTTCCTCTTGTAATCATCGGCGGCGCCGGGCCCCGATGCAACGAAAAACGGGCTTGGCAGAGGAGCGCTACCTGAGATGGGGTGTGGCGGGGGGCTTGCAAAGGGAGCACGTCTGATAAGATGGCAGCGCGGTGGCGGGATGGAGGTGTGGAGGATGGAGACGCGTGCTGGCATTGTTTCTATATACGGGTGCCATTTTCTGAGGCGCGTGCGAACGCGTCATGTCACCGGACATGCGGGCGCTAGGCATACCAAACAGCGAATGTGTACGGTAACTTCAAGTTTAGTTGGCACTTGGCAGACTACCAGAGTGAGATCACTGTCCATGATTCGGGCTTCCAATTTCATACTGGAAAACTGGGACAAAAAAGCCCAGAATCGGAAGGCCCGAAACTCAATCAGACAAGGTCTACGAAGTGGGCCGTGCAAAACACAACGTGCCTTAGGCCCATTTGATGCGTCCGCCGATCAGATATGGAATCCAATCCAGTTTTGCAGACTCCACAGTTCCAACAGGCAGGGCCAAAGAAAAAGAGCTGCTCCCGCTCCATTCTCGATTGAAGGTGCAACAGCCGGTAGTTAGAGAAGCGCTCAGACTCAAGTCAGGTCTGGCGACTGGTGTACTCTGCCTTGTCCTGTACGGCCGTACCGTCAGATTATGCATGCTGCTAGTGTGCCGTGCTAGATGGCTAGATACCAGTGATAGACCAACACCAACCCTTTGGTCTTCTCTCGATTCCCAACTCGCTGTCTCCCACAGCGATGACTTGTGACCACTGACAGCGTTGTGGCTCTGTCTGAACTGTGAACGCGAGAGAGGAACGTTCTGAACGAAAGGAGAAGCAGCTACTACACTGCAGCTGAATCCTGCCTTGTCCTTGCCTGGAATGTCGCTTAGATTAGATGGACTCGTGCTTGCATTTTTAATGCTATAAGCATGTCGGCAGATGCAAAGCTGAATGCGCCCATGATTAAAGGCGCCTAACATCCGGTAACGGTTCGTCTGTTCGCGGTTGGCTGCGCATGGGATCAGTGCTGCGGTGTCAAAGGCTGATCGTATGCGTGTTTTTTATATGGAAGTGCGATCGATCGGCATAACATACCCCTCAACGTATACCACTCATAGTTCTGTAGAGATTGTATGCACTAATGCACCATCCAGCCCGCCTACTACTGTCCTTTGCGTCACCATTGTCTTCCTTCAGAGAATCAGAGCAGTTTCAGTTCTGTGGCTGAGGCCACGAGTTGACAAGTACTCCGTAGGAAGAGAGGCGCATGCAGGTGCCATGTCCTCAAGCATCCATCCTATCCATGCCGTTACTGTGCTCTGTCCAACGTCTGCCACTGCCGGCGGTGGTGTTTAGATAAGGTAAAGTTTAGAGTATTATATCGGGTGTCATGCGTATATGGAAGTGTTCAGATATTAATAATAAAAGCAAATTACACAAGTCCTCAAGAACTCCTAGACGCAATTTATTACAACATAATTAACTCCTCCCCATGACACGTTTCACCGTAGCAAAGCGTTGTCGTATGGAAGTGTTCCGGGAGCATTAATAATAAAACAAATTACACAAGTCCTCAAGAACCGATGGTATTTAATTTATTAAATATAATTAATCCATCGCTTGGCATGCGTGTTTCTTCAGAAAGACATCACCAAAATATGGACCAAGTGCGCTTAAAAATTGGCCTCACAAAATAACAAGAATACGTGCAATTAGCTAATTTTTTGGGCCTATATTTAATAATTCGTGACATATACGCCGTTTGATCCCGCGTGAGCAGTGACTAAACTTTAAGAGGAGAGAAAAAAAGCTGCATGCTCCACTCCACGCCTCCGTGGTTCCGCTCAACAATGCGTACCTTGAAAGTTTTCCTGCATGAATGGAACGATAACTGCCTGCGCAGGCAGAGGCAGCACAGGGCACTCAGCTGCACCTCGCACTTGCATAGTGAAGTAGAAGTACCATACGACCCAAAGCCTGTACCTGTGCAGAACATGATCGTGTATAATACCAATGCAATAGCTGAAAATGACGTGTCATTTGCTGTTTAACCAAACCAATCAAGATCCAAGTTGGCGCATGCGATGAATAGTAGAGAAACGTACGTGCGCGTTATCCGGAATGAGTTTCGCGCCAGT